CCTCTCGTGCTTATGGAGGTTACAGATAGGGAAAGTGAAAGAGAAGACTGGGGATAGAGGGGGTTGAGGAAAGGACAAAAAAATGAATGGAATTCAACAATATAGAAAATGGTGATTGACATTACATTTACATTTTTGAAGATTGAATTGATCAGGTAAGAAGGTAAATGGAAGGAAGTTCCATATGTGAAGTGTAAGAAAAGAAACTGTTGGAGTAGAAGTTGGAGTTGCATTTATCTATTTCAACAGTAAACAGGTGGGATCTAGATATCAATCTAGTAGCATGCTCAAATTCATGTATTCAGAGCACTAGGGAAAACAGCTCACCAAAGTAGTTGCCATGAAAATATTTGTAGAAAAGACAGAGGGAAGCCATGTTACATTGATGAGAAAGTGACCGAATTTGATTACATTACAGATCCTTCTAGGCAAACATTTTCTCAGACTGATGATTAAACATGGCTTCGAGTGAAAGAAAACAATCCCTCATCACACTCTATAGAGTGACACTACAGAATCATGAAGAAAGAACTTTACTAAATAACAGAAAACACATCACTTGACGACTCCCAACAGCAGCAATGACTAAAATGGATAGAACATGTAACTATAAGGGAAAATAATGATATAATCGAATCATTTGCGTTCCACACTACCTTGAACAAAAAGTTGTGAAGGAAACTCCTATCAATAATCAAAAGGGTGATAAAAGTTTAACTTGAAAAGTCTATTTTTTGAAAACAACCGTTTTAAGAGAAAGATTTTTTTTATAAATTTCTATTTGCAGTAATGATAACTGTTCAGTCAATGAATTCTTAATGTTTCCTGCATGAAAATATTACTATATGCACATTGTCTTTGAGGATGGGAATTTTTACAGTTCCTGTACTCTTAGAAATCACATTCACATAAAGGTTGTTGTTAATTATATCAAAGCCCTTTTATCATGATAATTAAAACAATGATCCAACCAAACATGTTTCTTTTTGTGATTGAGCACTTCTCTTGAAAACTTTCAGGTTAGATTTATTTTTATTGACCAAACTGAGAATCAAATACAAAAGAAAGCACACACTCAAAAGAAATAGAATGGAATTAAGATATACACCAAGCCTCTTTTCTCTGTTCTTTCCAAATCTAAAGTTTGCACCCAAAATTTATTTCAGTAATGTTCTTGGGTTTCTGCACAAGTTTTAGATATACTAATGTGGGATGGAAAAAAAATAATTGATACATTTCTTTGAAGCAATACTTCTTTCTCTATCTCTTTGGCAAGCTTTCAAAACTATGACAGTCCATTTGGGGAACTTTTTCTTCCTCTTGGGTATGTCTGCATTTACATCAAAAGGAAATTATCAAGTAAAATATGAGATGAGAAATATCTGTCCTAGTGTTTTCAGATTACGATAAGAATTTTACAAACATAGCTGCCTTCATTCGAGTAAAAACATAGAAGAAAAAATTTTAATACTTCTGTTTACCATATCACGTGGCTATCACAGATTTACATTGACCTGGTTGTCTAATTGGAAATATGGTGTCACTGTAGTTTAGCTTTAATGTTCTCCTTGTTATAAATTAGAGGTTTTGAAACTATGGTCCATGGTCTCCTAGGTCAGGATCTGCAGTTGAAAATTTAAATTAATATAGTGAATCTAAAATTAGGATAACTGATCTCAACAATAATCCCAATGCCATTTGGGTAGAAGATCTGTTGGGAATCAGACAAACTATGATGGAAGCTCCATAATGAATTGCCTAATTGAATGCTGAACATAACATGAGAATGTCAGATATTGAATCTCACATTGTGAATCTTGTGGCAAAGTAAGAACATCACACAGCTATTGATAAACATAATTATGACATACCAACCTGGGCTACATGTTAGAATTCAAGTAAATATAAAGCATTGAATCATTTTTAAAGGTCAAAACTTTCTTCTTATTGCAGTTCATTAATTATTGTCTAAAATCTACATGCTTAATAGTAAGGGTCCATGAGCATATTTTCCTTATAGAAGGGGGTCACTGAGTTTTGAAAGTTTTGAAATCACCATTCCAGATAAATGATGACTCAACTAATCTGAAAATAATAACAACAACAACAACAACAACAAAGAGCTTGCTACATTCTGCCAATTATCTTAAATTTAATTTTTTTTTCCTGTGAAATTTATAACTATCCTTTTGTTTGTAATGAATAAAACAAGTTCTTTACTATTTTTATAAAATATCTTTTGTCAGATGCACAGATATTGTAATAGAATAAGAAACTGAAGAACTGAGATCACATTCCAGATGAGTTTGTTGCATTCACTTTCACACAAACGCTCTTGGAATAGATATGAATTAATCTCTGCTCGCCATTTCAGATCATGGACTTTATTTGTTGTTATGGGGAGAATAGAAATGTATGAGATTTTTATTAGTTGATTTGCAGTGGACTCTTAATTTTAGGTCATTGTCAGTATGGTTTAATGTGATGCCTATGAAAGGCAAAGTGTTATTTATTTCTGTTTTAAAGGTGAATTGTGTTGTATGTTCAGCTTTGTTCAGTTTATCTTCAAGGTTAGGTAATGTAGTTTTGCCATGTTATATTAATAGGGCATCATGAATATATTGAAAATATATCGATTGTTTAGGGCAAAATGCCTTGGAAAGGAGAAAATTGAAGAAATTCTAATACATGCTGCTATATAAAAATTTATATATCATTTTCTCCCATTCTTAAGTGTGTTAGTTGAAAGTTATTAAAATAACTTTATTATTATAGATTTTGGAAAGATGGAACTTTGCACCGTGTTAATTTGCTACAAGTTTTAAAAGATGTGCAGATTTTAGATTTTTATGTAAATTACAATTTGATTAAATTCTACTTTCCATTGGTTCTTGTGAGAAAATAGCAATGGGAGGATCAGATCCAAAAATCAATTCAAAAGGGGTAAAAAAATTGTATGTAAAACTTGCAGTGCACAATAACCATTTTTCATTCATGCAGAGCCAAGAAAAGGCTCATGTCATCCATAGTAGCATTATTTTATTGGGGTAAAAAAGATTTTGATTGGTCATGACTGGTAAAGATGCTAAAAAAGTTATATTTTGAGATCTACTAACGTCAACCTGATCTTGAGTTGGATTTTCTTTTCTGAAAACAAAGACAACAATAATTCTTTTTCGAAATAAGAATTGGTTTTCTCTTTCCTTGATTGGAATATAGTGTTTCATTAATAATAATAGGTTTTGTTTGTAGTTGGTTAACTTACCAATTTTTTTTTTAATAATTTCACCCCAAGCAAGGTGGGAATGCTGCTCATATGCAGAGGGTTACAGAAAGTGAAAGTGAAAAGACTGAGTATAATGGGGAGGATTGAGGAAAGGACAAAAGATAAATAGGATTCAAGAAGACAAAAGCTGGCAACTGACATGGCATTTAAATTCTTGGAGATTGTAGTTATCAGAAAAGCCAGAAAACAAAAGGGAGTTCCACAGACAGGGTGTCTGAGAAAACCTGTTTTAGTAGAATATTTGGTTGCATTTAGCTATTTCAGCAGTATGTCCTAATTGCCACTCTATTAGGATGCTTAAATTCATATATTCAAGGTACCAAGGAAAGAAGCTCGTCAGAGTAGTTGCTATGAAAATATCTGTAGAAAAGTCAGAGAGAAACCACATCACATCAGTAAGAAAATGACTGAAGTTGAGATGCCTGCTCAGGATCAATTACGTTACAGATGTGTTGTAGCATGTAATATATAGACGATAATGGGTATGTCCCCATTCACATATTTATAGTAGTAAATACTATATGTTGGTCTGAAGTTGGAGATTCATTGTGGAATTCATTTGACTCACTTCTAGCAGTTGACTACTACTACACAGTGCTGGTGAATCTTATATGTGTTATTCGTGCTTTAAGTATTATCGTTCATTACCAACCTTTGTTTGATTATTCTATTCAGTAACCTTCCCTAGGTTACAACAAGATCCTTCTTTGGATTTTGTCCAGGAACTCAAGATGAATATCAGGAACCCCAGGCCAGATATGGCAACAGTATTCAATGCATGGGTGAATTACAGATTTATAAATATGCATGGTGGACTTTGATGAGAAAATTTTTCTTGAAAGGCACAGTGACCTAATTTTCCTTGCAGTGGATATGTTTAATGATGCCTATTATAAATTAAAAGCATAAAATTTGATTTATATTTTCATTGATATTCATGATGCACATGTAATCATCAGTACAATCTAATAAAATTTAAAATAATATTACTATATACTTTTAGTTTTGTTGTATTATCTAATTCAGCCAGTGAATGTGATACACGCTTGGGTAATCTTGTCTTTTTCAATTCATGACTGACAAGGCAGAAGATTTTCTGCAATAGGCTGCCATTTCTTTCTGCAGTAGACTGGTTGCCAACCAAGGCTATATGATCCAGTCTGTCCTGCTATTCAACTCATAGTGTCAGGGAACAAAAAATGGATTCATACCTTTCCAAAGGGTATTTGTGTATAAATGAATGTAACCAACTTAAGTGGAATTTGAACTCAGCTCCCTGATTTCTCATACTGAGCCATTATCAATTATACTATCTGCACTTCAATTAATGGATTTTTATCTATAACTCATTAATACCCACTGTCCCAAATGTGGAACAATGAACATTAATGGGTTACCTAATTACTTAAACCATTAATGGTCATTGTCCCAGTTATTCAACTGGGGACATTAATGGGTTATAATTAAAAGCCCATCATTAAGATTTGACATTTTATAAAGCAATAATTAATAATTTTTAATTTAAATTAATTAATTAATTTAATAATTAATTTTCTTTTACATTTATTTCCTTTTAGAAGGCTATAAAACTATGATTAACACCAGATTTTTATTTTAATGTTTATGAATAATAATGAATTTTCCTGTGGCTATTAGTGAGTTAATAAGAAAAAAAAAAAGATTTATTAACAGTTTCCCTCTTCCATCTGGCTTACAGTCACATCGCATTGAAACAACGTTTCCTATATGATCACGAAAGTTAAGCAACATTGAGCCTGGTCAGTACTTAGATGGGTGACTGCTTGGGAATACCAGGTGCTGAAACCTTGGATGTATGGGAGGTATAATGAATAATGGCACACAGTTGTTAATCGGAGAAGAGAGTTCAAGTTTCTGTTAGTTTTGTTATATTCACTTATGTCCAAATACTCTTTGAAAAGGTATGAATTCACCTCTTCTCTCCCCAGATATGGGTTAATTAGTAAGACTTGTATTACTAAATCATTATTATCTCAAAGAATTCTAAAAATCTAAAAATATTTTCTGGCTTTAAATAACCTGTAATGGGCTGATAAGCTGTAAAAAATGGATCAATCAATAAAAAAAATCAGCTTCCCATTGATTGTTATATGCATCTACAAATGAAGTGTGCACTGAAATTACGAGGTCTCGGGTGTGAAGCAGGACCATCTACAGGAAGAGCACATGGTTGGTATTGACCAGATGGGCTAAATTAAAGGGTGTGAAGCTGCTTGGGAAATCAGTAGGAGCAGAACATCAGCCAGATTTGCAGAATGCAGAGTTCCGATTCCCATCAGGTTCGTTATATTCATTTATACACAAATTCCTTTGGGTAAAGTATGAAGCTACTACTTCTCCCCCAGCTATGGGTTAATTAATAAGATTTGTACCTTCTTTATGCGTTGTGTCCCTTCAGGACATATGCATTCATCATTCTCCAGAATTTCCTGTCCTTCAGAGCTCATAATAAATTTTGTTGTTTTGTTATTTCTCCAAAATCTTGTTCTACCATTCTATTACTCAAGCTCACTAGGTAAGTTAGTCATTGTTTTCCGCTGTTCTTTCTGGCCTCAATCTGTCTTGTGAGTATCAGATTTTTCAACCCTCTTTTCTCATTATTTACCTTAAAAACATCAACTGTCTTCTTTTTCTTCCTATTTTCTCTAATAACTTAACCTTTTTCCGCATCTTTAGTCCATGGTACACTCAGCATCCTCCTTTAGAACAACATTTCTGTTGCTTCAAGTCTCTTCATCTTTGAGGAGATTGTCCAGCATTCACTACCATATAGGAGGATAGATATCCCATAGCAGTTCTGTACTCTTTTCTTTTGCTTAATATTCTGCTAAGCTTTTGGAATGTGTCTTTTGCTATTGCATTACATCTTTGGATTTCTGTGTCATGCTTTTCTTTGTTAAAACACATCCTAGACATTCGAATTTTTGTACTTCTTTTTGGTATCTCCAATTTGTAATTTGTATTTTGGGCTGATCCTTTTGCTAACAACCATGCATTCTGTTTTTCTGCAGTTGATGTTTAATCCTTTCTTCTCACTTTCCTTTATTACATTCTGTAGGAGTTTTTGTAAGAAACCATTATTATCTGAAAAACAATTCTTTGAACTTAAAACAAATTTATGGCTTTAAATAACCTGGAAAGGATTGATATGCCAGAGAAATTAAATCAATCAATCACTTCCATCAACACAAAAAGAAAACAGCTTTTGTAACTATTGTTAGATTCTTTTCAGCAAAGCAAGATTTTGCAGTGAGTTCAAAAATCAAATGTTGTTGTCGAAAAGAAATTCTCCCAACTTCTCTTCACAAAGAATGGTTTCCTTGCAAGTTGAAGTTATTGTGTCTATTTTTACTTGTGCTTGGCACCAAAGTGTCTTCAACCTGGCATCTGTTTTATTCACAGTTTGTGGACAGGGTTAATATGATTGAGCTGTGTGTCAAGAACAAGGTTTAAACAACTGAACGGTTCAATGCCTGTGCATTATAGGAAGTGAAGGGCAGTTTTATAATTTTTTTTTTTCTGATAGATCTTTTGATACCATCTGTCCCATTGAGCTCAAACTGATGTTCTCTCCAGATTAACATTATACAGGAATGCAAACTATAAGCCCCAAAAAAGAGTGGGGAAAAATGCTCTTAAAGGAAATGGAAAAGAAAACTGAGACTTAAAAATTGGATCTCACACATTGAGATCATGTAAGCAAAGAATAAGACAGACAGAACATTAATAAATAAATGTAAGCAAACCATTTTACATTTATTTACAGGCAGACATGAAAGAGTATTAAAGAATTAACAAGAAAACCAATACAAATATTTCTTGTACTGCTTTCTTATTATTCTTTCAATCATTATTATTATGAGTTGAAAATAATCAGGAAAATATATACTTTAATTAATTAGCACCAATTAAAAAAAATTAAAAACCAATAGGATTACAGAAAATAAATTCAATTTTAACTCTCATGCCAAGCTAATGTAATCTTTATGAAACTAAGTGTAAGATTAAGATAGGTAAGCATTTAATTTTATTCATTTTTATTAATATTCTAGAATGCATGGTAGAGAGACTGAACTGCACCCTAATTGAGAAACCAGAGAGCTGAGTTCAAATTCCATTTACTTATGTGATAACAGCCTTGGGAAAAGTATGAATCAAGCTCTTCTTCCCCTACTGTAATAGTGGAACACACCTATTCTATTGTTAATAGACTCTCCCACCTATAATAAGTAGGAACAGTAGCAGTTGCTAAGTCGCTCAGTGAGTTGTTCAGTCAGTTGATGTCAGATGACCGTTAGTCAGATACTAAAAGTATCAGCGACCACCACTAGATTTCTCTGCATCATTACCTATTATATCAAGTTCCTAACGTTTTGTACGTCGAACCTATTTTAGGATCGACTTAGTACAAATACAAGCCTCCACTGTGAAACTACTCTACAACACCTAGCTATGTGTAAATAGTAGGAGAGATTGAGTTCTATAGTCTTAGGTGGCAACTGGTCTAGAAGGAAAAAAACTCTGAATTCAAAACTAGCCCTGGCAAAGTACATATGATGCTAAGGAAAGGATTATTCACATTGTCCTGATGATCCTAAAATTGGTTTATTTCTTTTTAATATTCTATCACTTGAAACTGCTTGCCTTAAGAATGTTTTCTTCTTTAAGTAACCTTGTTGACTGTTTTTTTATGTTTTTTTCTTTGAGACATAATCTTTGTAAGTTTTTATAAATAAAGACAAAACTTACCTTAGGTGACTCATTTCATCTTCTGAAGGAATTTATAAGGCAAATGTAAGGATTTTATTTTGTGACAAGTGTTTATATACAAGGGCAAAAATGTTATTGGTTTTTAAAAATTTAATTGTTTATATATATGTATATTTCAATATGGCATTTAATCTCCTTTGAAGTAGCACCCCTTCTCAAGACACAGACATTACCCAATGTCATTTCCAATAATAGAAGCATTCCTGAAATACCTTTATTAGGGGTAGTGAGAAGTTGTCTCTTGGATTTCCTCAATGTCTTGAAATCTTGTTCCTTTCAAGTGAGATTCGATTTTTGAAGAGGAATAAAAACAAGGAGCATGATCTGGGGAATATGGTTGTTTCAGACTTGGAAACTGCTGTCCTCGTCCAAATATTTGTGCACAAGCCTTAGTCACTAATGGAACCTTTGTAGTGTGGTGAGATGACCACACTCTATGCACTTTCCTTCCAGGCACGGGTGTAAACAATGGAAGTGAGCGAGAATATTATATTTTAGTGCGTATGCATAACAAAGTTCAAGGTCTGTAGCAAGAGGCTTCACTTTGCATACTTAAGTTTGATTACTATATCAATAGTCCCAATACTTTTTGATCTGACCTCATACATAGAAAACATGGATGACAAAAATATTCTTTCTATATTTTTTTATTTTCTGTCTGAATTTCTGGGATGAGGAGTTATCATTATCTACACTATTTACATTCAGACAATTGTCCTCATCTTTTTGTTGTTATCACAACGTTTCAGCCTTCTTCAGCCTTCTTCAGCCTTCTTCAGCCTTCTGATGAAAGCTGAAGAGTTTTCCACTGCTCCTCCTTCCTTCAGTATGTCCTGTGAGTGTTAAATTTTCCAATTCCACTTTCATCAGTATTTTCCAGAAATTTCAACTGTCTCTTTTTGATTTTTTTTTGTATAAAATTATCACCTTCAGACCATGTTCACAGATATCCTGAAGTATGAAACTGAAACTCTCTCTCTCTCTGATACTGAACATATTTTTCCTCTCTAAATATAGTTTTCAGCAACAGGGTTTTGAACATTGAGGGTCAGGTTCACGTACCCTATGGCTGATTTGTCAAGGCCTAGAGAGATGATCCCCGCATGTGATACCTTTGGAGAGTGACCAAAAACTGAACCATAGGTTAACCAACTATAGCTTTCTGAGTGAAATTGAGAAGACAAAACTTTTGGGAACCAGTTGATTGTTGAGCTAGCATAAAGTTACAAGTCATCATGATTGTGGCTTTGGGAATACTGGTTATGTTAAACTATTATGAACTACTGGCATTTAAATGAGATGTTGTCATTAATAATCATATCAGATTATGCGCTCTCTCTCAGAAACTCTAACAAAAGATTTCTCAGCATGGTAGTCATATAAACCACAGATTGGCTCTTTTAGGTGATAAAGAAACAAATGTATCTGAGAAAAAGGCATCTGCAGCAGCTACCCCTAGCAGATGGGCTCACCTGAAAACTAACAGCCACCTACTGCATATATATATATATATATATATATATATATATATATATATATATATATATATAAGAAATATAGACGTAAGATGTGCTATATTTTATGAGATAAAGTGCTCGATATCAGAGATGGGAGTATGTGTATATATAAAAACTTAGAGGCGACAGTCTGTTTCATGCTAGATGCAATAGTCAGGCCTGACGATTGTGTCTAGCATGAAATAGACTGTCGCCTTTAAGTGTTGACTTCTATGCTCACTATATATATATATATATATATATATATATATATATATATATATATATATATATATGTGTGTGTGTTATTAATTAATTAATTAAAGAGTATCAAACACTTAAAATCCATAGGTAATAATTTTTATTTCATGAGAGCTGAGATTGAGAGCTCCTATTTTTAAAGCTCTCATGAAATAAAAATTATTATCTATGGATTTTAAATGTTTGATATTCTTTAATTAATAATAATTTTGCTCTGTCTTTTGACATAGAGCTCTCCCTGGATCTATATCCTCCTG